TCTACCAAGTCCTACTCTAATCCTGCACTCTGGTATGGAGGTGGGTCATATATAATTTTAAGTTTCAGGTTTGGGACTTAACCATATTTTAGTCTTGGGAAGAAAAACCAGTAACTGTCCTACTTTAGTCTATCCTTTGGGTAACATGAGTTTTTGTAGGGAAAAACATTTTTCTTTATTTCCTTCTGAAAATATGACTGTTGGGATACAAAAAATGGTGCTCTAGAGGAACAAGTATTAGATTTATATTAGCAAGCCTAGTTAAGTTCCGATCTGTTTCATATTAGCAATGGCCTTAGGGAGGTCATTTTACTTCTAAATCTCAGCATTCTCATTGGGTCAATGGGAATAATAATAGTTGTGCTATTTACCTCTCAGATTTTGCTATCCAAACGAGTCACTGCAAATAGATGTGTAAATCACATAACATCATATGAACATCAGTTATTATTAATAAAAAGAGCATGGATTATGTAAATAATCTCAGATTCTGCTCTTGGTACCTGGGTCCTCGGGGGAAGCCCTCTTTATTTTGCTTGGAACCAGGTAACCATGCTACTTCCCAGTAATTTCCAAAGCACTAAGCATTGTGGTCTCCCTTCTCCTCCTACTAGAACTGCCCAGAGACCTTGGGCTCTGATACACAACCTTATACTTTATCTTGACCAGAACTAGTTACTCACACCATTTCCCAGCCCTTTTCATTCTGTCCTGAGTTGCTAGCTCCCCTTGCCTTTTTCCAGCTTAGCTCCCTTTTAAGTGTTGACCTTAATAGGGTCAATGTTAATAGGGTAGACCTTAATAAGCTGCCTTAATAGAGGGCAATAGATCCTTTGGGAGCAAGAGCTTGTCTTGGTATTCCCAGAGTTTAGCAGTGACTGGAACACTGTAAGTGCTTAATAAATGCTTTTTTTTATTCAGTATTATAAATCCTATCATAACACTTGTGGATATCAAGGTTATTTTAATTAGGACCGTAAACATTATAACCATAAAGGATATAAGAAGATTAGTTATTTTTAGGGGGAATACACGTAATGCATACATAACTTTCCCCTCACAATCCTACTTCCTCCCAGAGGCAACTAGGCAGGCAGACAGGCAACAAGCATTTATTAATCACTTACTCTATGCCAGGCATTGTGCAAAACATTGGGGATAGGAATACAAAGAGAAAGAAAGACCCAGCCCTCAAGGAACTTAAATCTAATGGGGAAGACAAAATAAAAGAAAGTTCAAGGGGTGGGGGTGGGGGAGAAAGGTACTTGTCCCAGGGCTTGGTGTTGAAGTCTGAAATTTCAGAAGCAGAAGGGAGAGGGGAATGAAGTTTGTCGGGCCTGGAATCCTCCCCAAAATGGAAGCCCCAGAGGGACTCATCATTGGGAGAAAGAGGGCAGCACCTTGGTAATGAAAGAATTTCAAGTAACCATCAAACGTGACCTCTCTTCCCCATTTCACCCTCCAGAAATCAAAAGGCAAGACTATAGCCAAATTCAAAATATTTGCAGTTTGATGCTCTCTTGTGACATTTTCCTGGATTCCTACTATTCTTCTTTAGAAAGGCAAAGAAAAAAGAATGACCAGAAGGTCCTTCACTTTTTACCTTATTTCACTTCCCCCAAGAGCTATGCATTCTAATACTCTTCTCCACACTTCAGGAGATGTAAGATTGGAGTGGTGAGTGGTGGGGGGAGGAAAAGATTTCAGAAGGTTTAAAAAGCAGAGGTTAGGTATGAGATGACTGCTTTATATCTAGAAAGGGTCTCAGATGTACATGAAGTTTTCTGACCAGCTGAGCTCAGCACTGGAAATTTATGAGAACAATGAGGATTAACTGGGGACCTAGAGGTTTCTGAATTTTTAAGCTCTGACATTTGTGTTGAATAACTGACACAAAGTGACAGAAAATTCTCACTTTTTCAGGAACTTCTTTATTGAAGACATAGTTGTTTTCCTGTTAACTTCCCAATTAGACTCATTGAGAGAATAGATTGTCTTTTGCCTTTTTTTGTATCCCGAGTACTTAGCACAGTGCCCTTAGCTGCACATAATAAATGCCTGTTGACTGACCCAAAAGAGCACTGGCTCTGAATTGAGGAGCTCTGAGACTATAGATATAATCTGTATCTATAATATATCTATTATACATATCCATGTTATGTACATAGATATCTATATCTATCATATGTAATATATAATCCCACCTTTGAGATTATAGCTAATCTATAATTATGTGTATATAGTTTACAAATGCATGTGTTTACATACACATACATATATTGGCAGTATTTGTGTATATATGTGTGTATCTGAATCTCTCTCTTTCTCTCTCCTGCTTTTGTGATACTCAAGACCTCCTTGAGCCTTAATTTCCTTCTTTATAAAAGGAGGGGGAGTGAGCTAAATAATTTCTGAAGTCTCTTCTGAGATTTGGACCTATGATATACGATTTTATAATTTGGTTTGTGAATTGGAAAGGACTTGGGATTTTTCTGAGCTAATTAGGAGATTTTTTGAGTACCTTGGTACTTACTTAATACTGTATTTAGCTCTGGAGATAAGGAACCTTTTTAAATTGCTTTCAATTTAATTAAAAATTATACAAATTTTTGGAGGCAGAAAGTATTGTTGACATATTCTTATCCAACCCCCACTTTCATAGATGAGGAAACCGAGGCCTAGAGAGTGGAAAATATGTTACCCAAGGTCATACCAGCTAGTTAATGACAGAGGTCTTTTGACTTCTAGATGAGTGCTCTTTTCATTATACTTCACTCTTTATAATCCCTGGAATAATTTAAAAACCACTCAACTGGAGAGGGAGGCTAACATCAGCTCCACTAGACTCATTGTTGAACTTCCTTGGATCTACTGTATGCCCTCTTCATTGGCATTTTCACTACATATGGAGGGTCAAAGAAATGAGATGGAAAAATTCAAAAGTCTCTTTTGGAACCATTCATTAAAATGAGGTCTTGAAGCTTTGACTCTGGGCTGAAGCGAGATGCTAGGCTTATCTGCAAATTTTAGGCGTCCCAAAATAAGGGGTACTTTTTCTGACCTGCAAATTGGAACAATGGTAAATATAAATACTGTACCATTTATTAAAACTTTATTAAAACATAGACTCTGACAGCTTATGGTCTATAATCCTGAGTAGTAATCAAACTGGAAAGCGTCTTGGGTCCATTGTCCCTCTGAGTTGAACACACACACAAAAAGAGAGACCTTTTAGTGGATTTGGTGGCAGGAAGATCGGGTTGTACCTTTTTGGTTTTCTCATTTATATCTCTTGAAGCCAAGATTTTGATGAACTGCTACAAAGGACTTTTCAGGTTGAAAAAAAGGCTAAGAGGTCTCTTATCTGTTAAGATAAGGGAAAAGAAGAGAGACTACCAGAAAGCTAGAAGGTGAAGGAGGGGCGATAAAAAAAAGATAGCAGTCTAAAGGGTGAATACTTATGGCAGCACCTGCTGGAACAGTATCTCTCTTTTGTCAATCCGGCCACTGGAACACGCCTTCTTAGTGTTTCTGAGTTCACAGGAGCATTGCAAATGGCTGGGGGCAGAGTCCATGAGCCTTTCAAGCCAATAGAGTCCAGGGAAAGAAAATAAACTGGGTATAGGGACTTTGTCTGCCATCGGGAGTGCCAGGCTTCTTGCGGGTGCAAGAGTGAGGAGCGGGGGATGGATGGGGAGGAATACAGGTGTGCCTCTTACCAAGGCGAATCTGTCCTTGCTGCAAAGTCCAGGAGAGGGAAGGAAGGGCCGGAATGGGTGGGAACAGCTAGGGATACTGGTTACGCCTGACCTAGGGCCCACTTAAGGCTCCTCCAGCCGGGTGGGACGGGCTTTTGTGGCAGCTGATCCCTTCGGGATTAACCCCTTTGCCGCCTGTAGGTAGCGGTGGCGCGGGAGAGGAGGAGCGCGGCGGTGGAGGAAAAGGGTGGCGCGGGTGCTTTTGCAGCAAAGACGAGCTCCAGTCCCCAGGGGGCCGCCGAAGGGAAGATACACGTAGGTGGGTAGCTAGATGGGACGCCGCTTCAGATTACCCCAGGGAAAGACTGGGAGAAATCCTGGGGTCGTGGTACCTTCTGTTCCAACCTCTGCACAAGTCTCGAGGTTTACCTGTTCATGCACCTCGCTAGTTTTCTTCCTTTAAAATCTGAAAACCTAGCTCTTTCTCTTAAAAGGTATAAAGAACGGCTAAATCTCCCTCGTCCTTCTCCCATTTTCAATTCCTCCTCGGTGTCGTCACAGAGAGAAAACATGCCCCGACCTTCAGTTATGATAAGGAACTAGGGGTAGGGAGTCCCGCGTGGAGCTTGGGAGAGGGGGTTGTCTTTCGGGGAGAGGGGGCATTGTTTGTGCCGGGTGGGGAGGATGGGTGACGATCCCCAGTCCAGCAGCTCCAGCTGCAGGGGCGACGGCGGCGACAGCCTTCGGCCCTGTCCCCCAAGCTGTGTCCCCGGGACCTGGGGCGTGTCCTGGGGTCTCCCCGGGAGCTTGGGGCGGGGCGGGGCGGGGCGGTGCCTGGGAAGCAGGCTGGCTGGAAGCGGGGCCGAACGCTGGAGGGGGCTGTAGCTCTCCCTCTCCCTGTCTCTTCTCGACCGTAGCTTTCCCTTCCCCCCACCTTCTCCTTCTTTCCCCCTCCCCCCTCCGGAGGGGGCTGGCTTAGGGGCGGGGAGGTGCGGAGACCGCGGCGGCGGGGCTGCTGAGTTCAGTTCCCGCTCGCCGGCCGGGTTTACCGGAGGCAAGTCAGTCGCCAGCGTCTTTGCAGCCGCTGTTCCGCCTTTTAATTTTATTTGGAGGGGTGGGGAGGGAAAAAGGGGCGGGGAAGGAAAGAGGCACAGCCACCGCCTCTCGGGCTTCTCCCGTGCAAATGGTGTTTGCCTAGGCGTCGAGCCGGACATGGCGACCCTGAGCCCGCTACCTTCCCTCTCCTTCTCCCCTAGTCTTTCGTCCTCCTGCTCCTCCCCTTCTTCCCCATCCCCGGGAACCCTTTAATGGCTCGGACCTCCGCCGGCCCCTGCCAGCTCTACTTGCGCGCCGGAGACAGGAGCCACCAGCGCCCGGTAGTATTAATAGAAAGCAGCCGCTGCAGCCCAAGTCCGGGAGCCGCGCGAGCAGCAGCAGCAGCCGCCGCCGCCGCCGCCGCCTCCTTCAGCGGCCCGGGGCCCTCGGCGCGGGGGAGGAGGAGGAGAAGGAGGGGGAGCAGCAGGAGCCCGAACTCCGGACGCTGGGGGAGCAGCGGCAGCTCCAGCCCCAGCCCCAGATCCAGTCCCGAGACGTGGAGGTAAGTAAGAGCTGCTATGGGAACAATGAAGGCTGTGGAAGGGGTGGGGGGGGCGGGGAGGCCAGGTCGGAGGAAGGGGAGGGCATCGGACTTGTCCCCGAGGGGAAGGTGTGGGTGTGGGGAGAGCTGCAGCAACTTGTGGAAGTCGCTTGGCTACTGGAGAAAGCTGGGTGGTGGGCCGAGGAGAAGGAGATAGGACCTTGGGCGGCCCCTGGAAGGGGGGTGCTGGTATGTGGCAGGTGAGGATGGCTTCGCCTCGGTCGGAGATGGGGTGGTGGGTGGGGCTTTTTGAAGCCGGAGGTTCCTGGGCCGGGCTGGTAGACGCAGCTGTAATATAACAATAGTAGGGGACTTCGGGTGCCCTGTTGGACTCCCGGGTCAGCGCAAGGATGGGAGGACACTCCATTGCTCTCCTTTCACCCCCAGCCAGAGGAATCCCAGGGACTCTGGGTCTCCAGCCCTTTCCTTCTTAGCCGAACTACCCCGCCCCCCACCTCTTTGGTGACAGCATTGGGAAGCTTCTTCTGGACACAGCGTGTAAATCTTAGTCCCTAGAGCTGGGTATCAGGCGGATAGCTGTTAAATCTGATTGTGTGTCCCGTGAAGTGTCCCGAGCTTCTTCAGATCTGGTCACAAAGTTACACTGCATTCCTTAGACCGGGATGACAATGGCGAATCTGGTCAGAACACAAGTGAAATTAAGTCGAACATCTTCCCCTTTCCTTCTTCCCCCCCCACCCCGTCCCTCATTTCCACGTGTGGCAAACTTCTATCTTTGAAAAAAAAACAGAACAAAACCAAAAACCTGTGGTGCACATTTAAAAAAAAATCTTTTGAATGTGATTTAGAAACCCTAGGTTCTGGAAACTTTAAATGTGTGATCCAGCTTAGTGCTGAGTGTGCGTCTGTTTATTTTTAAATCAAAGGATAAATTCCTCTTAATGAGTCTGAAGTGCATTTATAGCTGTAAAGCCAAATGGACAACTTATTGCTTCCTGTTGGCTTGGGGAATCTGTTCTGTCCCCTGGATTGAGCCTTGCAGAAGAATGAGTTCCTTGTAGCCCCTTGGGCTTGGACTTGGAGGGAAAAAAAAATCTTGATTTTCATCTATAACAGCTTAGCAGTACACATAAAAGCAGCGTGGCTAGTGTGCCTTTTTTTAAAAAAAATTATGTTCTATGGTAAAAATCACATTGAATTTCCAGTTATTTGTTTAGCACACTGGTCGGGAGAGAACGGGGACCTTTCCTCTGTGACTCTTGTAATGCAGTGTATGTTTTACAGTGCCTTTCTCTTGCTTCTAGCCCTTCCATAGCACGTGTATTCCATTCCTTATGAACCCAGCTAGGATTTCCATAGATTCCCTGAACAAACCATAACTCCCTTCCTTCAATAAACAGCATAATCTTAGATCCAGGACTGCTATGAAGAATTGAATGTGGTCTATTTGAACTACCTCAACGTTATAGTGTGTCGGTTGGTCATTTTCTTTACTAGGCTTTTCCCATCCTAGGAGTGAGAAGGGCTTTAAACATTGGTTTTAAAATTGATTTCATTGTTAGGATGAAGCAAAAGGAAGCTCTTTGGAGTTCTGTACATCTGGCTGCCTTCCCCCCCCCCCCCCCCGTTCTTGCTGGGAATGACCCAATTTGGTGCAACATAGCCTTTTTTTCCTCTTTTTTTTTGACAGAGCTACCTCCGAGTATTTTGTCTACAGGGAAATAGTAAAAACACACAAACAAAACGAAACTGTGCGCTTTAGAAACGTATACAAGGTGATGGAAATCCAGGCAAATAGGATTGTTCTGTATTCTTGCAACATATTGTGGCAAGAATTTGGTGTTGGAATTAGTTCAGCCATAATGAAATTGGCAGCTTAGTGGAGCCATGAAGAAATGGAATCTAGTCCTGACTGACACATACTAGCTCTGTTACCCAGGGCAATCCTCTAAGGGTGTTATGTAGTAGAATAGTTGCCAACCTGCATTGATAGAGCACTTGAACCTCCTTACACAAGGGAATGAAGTCACAGGTACAAATTCCCAAAACTAAAAGAAAGAAATATAATTAAAAATAATATCTTACAGTATAGTTATTTAAAGTTTACAGAGCTCTACATATACATTTGATCTTCACAGCAGCCTCATGAGGTAGGTATTACAGGTGTTCTTAACCTCATTTTACATTTGAAGAAACTGAGGCACAGGGAGATTAAGTGATTTGCTCATGATCATACAGCTAGCATCAGAAGTATATTTCACACCACCAAAAAAACCCTTAGTTATCTACTGCTTATAATAGTGACATTACTAGGAGTTATTTAGTTTTGTATAACCTAAACTAACCTAAGCCTCCCCACTATGTGAGGCAAGAAGTACTGGTGGTGGAGGTACAATGCAGCTCTGGGGTAGAGATAACCAGATTTTAACCTCTTCAGGTATAACTCGGAAAACGTGTAACTTCTTTGCTTAGTATGGAATGGAAAGAATCCAAGATTACTTGATTATGATGTAAGTTTTTCAGATGTGACTCCTAGTCTCTGCAAGATTTGAGCCTGTGATTTTAGAGAGTATATTTCACTTTTAAGTGGAAATACTGGAATCAAAGGTGATTTAAGGTTATATTGTGGAATTTGGTTTTTATAACCTCTTTCCTTATGCTTCCATCCTCTTTCTCAAAGGACCCTGGGGATTGAATGCCATTGGGTCATATTAGAATACTAATGCTACTCTGCCAGTAGTCCATCAGCTGTGTTTTAACTATCTTTATTCATTTTTCTTGATTGGTTGTAGAAATTACATCATGATAATACTGAGACTGTAAACTGCACAAGTATTGTTCACAAAAAAAATTAGTTTCCAAGAGATTTAATTACTTACTGAACATTAACACAGTGTAGAAATTTACACTTTTCAGCAATCATGGTGCTTATAGAAATTTGACTATATAATTCACTGGGAAATGAGCAATTTGAGAATATGATTTTAAATAATAATGAATAATAATAAGATTTTATTCCTGAAGTAAACTAGTTCGAAGAAAGAAAGTAAATTTAATCAGAGAGTGAGGGAAATTACTTTAAGTAAAGATTCTCACCTAGCTTTTTGGTAATGTGGTGACTAGGCTCTTTATACAATCCATTTGCAAACACTCCTGTTTGTTTTGAGTAATGTTTCTTTTACCTGTTTGAAAATTTTGCTCCTGATATGGTGATATTTGTTATCCTTGTGGACTAAGGCTGTTGCTGCAAATGATTCAAGTTATTTTGCCTATGGGCACGTAGTTAATCTGTCTCTTGGTTGGCTGTGGACTATGGAGACTGCTCATGTTTGTGGATTCTTTGTCTTCTGTTCATGTTAGTTATATGCTGGTTTTGTTCAAATTGGGGCCATCCCATCTCTGATTACTGAATTCCAAGTTGATCTCTATTTCTTTTGCTTACAGTAGTCCCTGATTGTGCTGCTCTGCACAAATCTTTTCCAAAGAAAGTAGCATTTCTTCTGTCCCTGCTGCCAACAGTGCTTAGATTACCATACAGGAGCTACTTAGGTATTATGCTGTCACTCATTTTCCAAATGTTCAATTTGAAGTAAAATTAACTAGCAGACAACGTGGCTATCAAAGACCTTGAGAGAGCAAATTTTTAAAAAAATTAACTTTTTTATTATGAAATTATTAAAAACATGAATATGTTGGAATACAAAGAATAAAAGAGATCCCTTCCAGCTCCCTCAGTTGAATAGAAAGGGAAAATAAACCCCCCATCACTAACATGTAAAACAAATTCCCACATTGACCATGTTCAAAAATGTATGTATTATTCTGAATTTTAATTGTCACTTCTTTGGGAAGAGGTGAGTAGTACGTGTCATCTTTGGTGTTCTGAAATCATAGTTTATCATTGCAATTATCAGACTGCTAAAATTTTTTTTTCTTTGGTGAGGCAATTGGATTAAGTGACTTGCCCAGGGTTACACAGCTAGCAAGTGTCAAGTGTCTGAGGCTAGATTTGAACTCAGTTCCTCCTGACTCCAGGGCCGGAGCTCTATCCACTATGCCACCTAGCTGCCCCTTTTCCTTTTTTTTTTTTAAGAGTTGTTTTTCTTCATAAGGTCGGACAAATGAATTTTGTTTTGTTGGGTTTTTTTTTTCAATTAAGTTTTGGAGTCATTTCTTGCTAAATACAGATTTTTGTTTTTACTCAGTGTCTTATACAGATTTTTGTTTTTACTCAGTGCCTTAAAAATGTTTAGTTCATTTTAAAGTGGAGAAAGTTCTTTATCTAGGTTTGGTTTTTTGTGGTGGGTCTTTTTTTGGGTCAGTGTCTCTCTGTGTGCCATTTAGGATCATAGCATCCTAGCAATACTAAAACTAAAAGCTTTAGTTGAAAAAAAACCATTGAAAAAATATATTGTATCTGGAGAATTTGATACTTGTGGGAGTCTGATATGACCAATAAGTACAATGTGACTCTTAGTATCTGTGTTCATTACTGCCAGTGATCTTCAACTTTGACCTGTAACTTTCTTTCTATTAAAGTGCTGAATGAAGATTGCCAGGTCTGGCAGAAGATTTGCAGATTGAATTCATGTGGAAAGTAGATGAGTTCACTCAATTTCATGTGTAAAATTGTTATATGTAACCATAAGTTTTCAAGAGAGACCTGGATTACATTTAGCTTCTGAATGAGGGAAAAGTCAGCTTGGACATTACATTATTATGTTAGAGCCATTCCCCATTACCAGCCATCTTTTCTGAGTTTACTTTATACAAGATTTTATTCTAACCTGATGGTTTGTTTTAAATTACATCACAATGATGGGAAAATCCAATTTTAAGATATTCTTTGTTGCTTTTTTGACTTAGTAAGGTATTGATCATGATCTTAGGGTACTTAAAAACTAGTCTTTAATTTTTTAAAAGGAAGTTTAATATTAATGCTGACAACTCCCTAATATTCTGGGAAGTTGGAAACTAGATTTTTAATTAATTATCTTGAT